GTCTTGCATCCGCATTCGACTCGGATATTTCTAAGTGATACCAATGCATCAACGCCGACCTGAATCGCACATCGAGTATTCACACTTAGAAGAGAAGTGGTACGAACAATCATAAGCCGGGCCTCCCGCACGTTCGTATTCACACTTCAGTATACAAGCCAGAACCCGCACTGCAATTCTTAAGCCATGTGGAATATGTAAGCCGGCCTGATCGCAGTTCGTATTTAACTTAAAAATTTTCTAAGTATCGAATTCATGCCGATCTAATTCGTTTGTTCGTTTAATACTTAAAAATTTAAATCGCACAAACTTAAGCCGATATCGCATCGCCGTTGTGTTCAGATTTTCAACTCATAAAAAATGCTTAGTTTCTTAAAAACTTTCATTAAAATAAAAGCCAGAATGGCACAAAAAATACATCAGGGTACACGATAGATTACAAACAAGAAAAAGGGAAAGCTAAACTTCAGTTTCTTCCTGAATTTCTTCCTCTTCCTTGTCGGTCTCGTGTCCGTCACCCAGCTCGGTGTCTTCGCCTTCTCTTGCATGTCGCCCATCTTCTATGCCGTCCCTATCGGCTTCTGGGTCATCTTCCACGTTGGCTCCCTCTAACAAAACACCACTCGAAACCTCAAGAAAAATCTCTGGCTCTGGAACTTTAAGCTCATCGGACGTGAAGCTAACTTCTTCAAAGGCATCCTGCTCCGCCTTGCTATCCGCAACCATTTTTTCCACATTTTCCTCAATCGAAATCGGGAAAGAGTAACCCTGCCTACGGACGATTTCAAGGGCCCTTTTCGCATCGGCCCATTGAGCCGCAGTTGAAATAAGTTCTTCGCCTTTATCCTTGCGAGAAAGCGATTCTTTCACCTTCGTCACCAGACCGGCATAGTGGTTATTCACAGCAACAGCCACGCGCTTAGCCGCCTCTTGACCGAAGGCAAATTTTGCTTCTTCAGCCGCTTTGCGCTCGGCCTCAAACTTCTTCTCGGTGTCGGCCCTCTCCTTTGTAATCTGCTTCACCACTCGGTTCAGCAGCCTGTTCTTTTCGACGTTATCAGCAAGGAGCTTCGCCAAATCTTCAGCAGATGCCCACATCGCACCCTCGAGCTCGGCGTTCTTTTGTCTTTCAGCCTCAAGGTCCTCCTACATGGTTTCGATCTCCGCATGATCGGATTGACACCTTTTGGCATCACGATCGTACTCGCATAACGTCGTCAGTGCGGTACTCAGAGCCTGCATCCGTAAATCTCATCAGAACCAATAATATGAGGGAAACAGAAGAGAGCAGTAAGAGAAATTTACCCTAGCCTGATCGTTAGCAAAGCGCGCGATTGCCTCGCTGCGAATAAAGCTCTGAGGGTCCGTTGCAGGAAGATCCGGATGATCCCTCAAACGGAGAAAATAGTCGAGACAGGATTCTGGATCGCTCACCAATGGACTATTCCCTCAATAGTCATAGGAAAATCCAAACCGATGAAGCTGTCGATCAATCCGAGGTCTCTTCGACCATTGTAAATCCTCAGGAGCATTATCCGCATTCTGCCCATCTTCACCTGCAGACTCTTTCAGTTCGGCCTTCTTCCGGGCCTTCTCTGCCTTCCTGGCAGCTCTCTTATCGGCCGACTTCTTTGCCTTGGCCGAATCTCTATCCCTTTTGTCGGCAGCCGCTTTGGCCTTGGCCAGATCACCCTCTGGAACGACCGGATTCCCGTACTGTTCTAAAGACCCTGACGGCAGAGGATTTTGGGCCTCCTTGGCACCCGGAGATTCAAACATCATCTCTAGGTCGGCAAATAAATCTTTGAGTGGGCGAGATTTCATCTTGTCAGTCCGGTTCTGGTGTCTAAGTAGAGCAACTGCAATTGGAAAGGTGTCAGCCGACCTTATAACTCACAAGGATAAGCAAAACAAGTTGAACCAACCTCTTGTCCTTTCGATCCTCTCTTCCGTAATCTCCGGCCAGGTGATTGCGCTGATCGCCGCAAATCGTTCGGAAATCTTGTAAATATCGAGGGGATCGTCAACAAATGGAAGATGCCTATTACCTGCGAAATTAAAGATACCGATCAGATAAGTTCACAACGTGATCTTAAACAATTCTTTAGGTCGGACGTGTCTCCACCCATGACCTCCGCCTATTTCGTTCGAATCTCGATGTCTCGGTCAATAATGGAATGCTCGTTCACCAGCACGAAGAAATAATAATCCTTCCAATCGTTGACCTTCGATTTGTGCCCACCCGTGACTATATTGAACCGGGTCTTCATGCTCGTATAGTATGATCTTCGGTTCCTTAAATTTTTCTTTGTCCTCCTGGTATTCGTCATCGCGTCAAAAGCAGCCCGACTAAGAGGAATGTTATGCCTGTTCGACATCACCAGCATACTAACGATCAGACGGATTGTCGAATGAGAGAATTGCGAGATCGGCATCTCCTTGTGATCGGCAAATTCCAACAGCAGTCTTGGAAGAGGGAACCAGAGATGAAAATCCCTGAAAAAGCATTCATAGACGCAGAACCATCCCTCCGGAGCGTTCCATGGCCGTTCTGACGGGCTCGGTATCATAAAAATGACTTCAGGGCCGATGTCACACTCTTCCTTCAGTGTTACCAAAGACTCCATAGTCGATTTTGTTGGCAATACTCCAAGGAGATTATCACAAGTCGGCTTTGGTTTTGGCTCTCCTTTCTTCCTCTTGACCTTTTTAACAGGGGGATTTAAATCGACAATCCAGAACTGATTCGCTTCATCTTCAGCAATGAGTGTATTCAGCTCGTCGGAGATGTCCATCTCGTTCGATCCACCCCTCTCGTCCAACTCATCTCGCAGTTCGGGGATCAGGAACGGTTCCCTCGTCGACGCTTCACCGCTCCTCAAATCAGCACCGACCTGACCCGCATGGAAACGCTCGGCTGCTGCCCTCTGATTTTCCTCTCTGACTCGCTCCTGAAAAGCTCGATCTAACGCGGATAACTCGCTAACATCAGAGGACCGATCTGACGCTACATCGTTCGCGATCTCTTTTCCCTTTGATCGGCCTCTCGCGGCCCGGTCGTCTTTCTCCATCTGAAGAAACTCTTCTAGAGAAATACCGATCTCGTCGGCTTTCTCCTTAGCCGATACGACCACTCTCGACTCTGGTCGGCTCTCGCAGATCTTCACACACTTGCTCATATCTGACTATCACGACGGTTTTCGCAAATCGGAGAAATCAAGCGGCTGAGAACGAACGAAACGCGGCGGAGGTCTGATCGGAGAAACTTTTAGCTAAAATAAACGAAGAACAAGGAGAGAGAAGAGAGCAAACCTGATTTTGACAGAGTTTCGCTAGAAATACAGAAGTGAAGAAATGAGAGTCGAAGTCCTCTTATTTATAGGAGGGTCTGGACGGTTATCGAGAGTCATCATGAGCTCGGCGACTTTTCATATTTCTTCTACATATTTTTTAATCGGCCCTTTCGCCTCCTTCTGCTAGGGTTTGACACGTGTCAACCCTAGTTTTGCATACGCGGGCCTGGGCCTAACCTAAATCATTTTAGGCGGGCACTTTTCGCGCCCAAAATCACAATCTGGCTCTCATCACCGCGCCGATCAGAAGTCCAGGTAATAATTTCATTTTTATTCTAACTCTTTTTTATAGCCGACCAGAATACATATCAAGCAATATATCATGAAGTTCACCAAGTAATACACCCTCACTTGCCGAACTGGAGGGGGACTTACTGTTAGAGATGAGATCCGTACCGTCTCTAACAAGCCCGATACGAATTCTGGTCGGCCCGTCTAACAAGTTCCAGGTCGGTAACATAAAAAGAAATCTTCTATTTATCGATCGACCCCGGGAAAAAGGAAACTCCTTGCCGACAAGAGTTTCCTATTCCAAGCAGATTGAAGACCGACCTGATCGGCTATAAATGTAGGAAGTCCTCGACTCTTCAACCTATCCAAAAATCATCTATCGAGACCTAGGGCAAACTAAGCAATCTGATTGTTCTAGCTTTTGATTTACTTTCCATAAAAGTTTAGGTCGGCGTTCTTATTCCGACGACCTAAACTCTCGTGTATTCATTCAAGCTCCGGCTTCTTCTAATAAAAGACCTCTTTAAACCCACAAACCCTAGTTCTTTCGTAGACCGAACTTGAGTTTTTACAGTTGTGTATCTTATTACTTTTCAGTTTTTTAATTTTTTCTATTAATAATTAGTAATAACAATCTTAGAGAATTTTGTAAAAATTTACATATTTTATCATAATTAGTTTGTACATTTCCATTTAGAACTTATTGTTAATAATTAAAAAAACATGAAAGATACATTTTTCTTTTAATAATTATAAGTTATTTTGAATATATATATATTTTTATTATATATATTTTACTTATAGTTATTTTAAATTAATTTCTGTTTAATTTTTAATATATCGCAGATTAACTCCGTGAAGCGGAGGTCTTATTCCTAGTATATATAAAAACAATTTTGAATAAATAAAAGATTGTAAAAACAGAGATTAAAAATGAAATTATTTCATGTAAAAATCATAGAAAATGAAAGACTTTGAAAACTGTTAAATTTAAATTCATACAAATCAATTATGAGATGCTCATTACTACTGCATTACATTCACCTATAAGTTCCAAATATCAGGCCAATTATTATTACAAAATACATGTAAACTAATTTGTTTACATAATATGATGCCTAAGTTTTAACAAAAAATAAATGATGTCCTAAGCGAATGTTTAAATTTTTCTTTAGTAGGCACGGCTCTGGTTATTTTTCACACTCAGATCATTTATCCTCGGCCTATTACCTTTTGAATGCAATGAGATGATCTATTCTCTAATTAACTTTTGCTTTTGGGTATAAATTAACGTTATTATTAAAATGGGTTGGTTAACAAAAATTTGGGATTAAAATGGGGTTGATAAAGAAAAACTGAGTATTTTTTTTCCATAAAAAAGTTGATGCTTTTTTAATCGAAATTTGATTTTTTACATTTTTTCCAATCAGATTTGTTTTATTTCTCGACAATGTTCAAATCCAACAATGTATATTATAAAATGTTTATCTAGACGAAGTTTTAATTATCTACAAAAAAAAAGTTGAAAACTGAAAGAAAGAGAATTTTCAGACAAAATGAAAAGTCAAAGAGAGCAGTGGAAGAATAAGTTTGGTCAAATGTCATCTGCCAACAACTGTGGTCAAAGTAATATCATTGACCGAGGCAACATCCTGACCGTCTACGATCTCGCCGGAGTTCAAGAACGAGTGGAAGGTAGGCTGTCTCGGACGTGGAAGGTGACTGGTTTGACTCTCCAACATCAACAAAACCGAAGCCATGTTTGGTCTATAAAAAACCGAGTCTTGTGTACACAACATCCCCACGTGGATGCATCTAATTGCTTCGTTTATGTCTCGAGTGTCTTTCACCGTTGGATCTATCAACTCTTTCGTTTTTCCTTGGCTCCATAAATGCCACGCCTGAAATTTTGAACATTAGTTTCTAGAAATGAAAAAAAAGATGAACCAAACCAAGCGGAACTATGAACCGAAATCAAATTAAAATTTTTGCTATATAATTTACATCAAATTAAACTGAATTACAAATTTTTAAGAGTTTCAGTTTATGCCTGAGATTTTCCGGTTATTAAAGAATAAAAAGGAACTTACATAACCGATGAGACTTCCATATTCAGACCCTCGAAAGCTAACGTTCTTGGTTCCACTCACAATCTCCATTATCAACACTCCAAAGCTATACACATCAGATTTCTCCGAGAACATCCCTTCCATTGCATACTCCGGAGCCATATAACCACTTCACATTTTTTTTCCAAACATCAAAATCATTAGAAATCGATACAATTTCATGTTGTTTATAGAAGATGAGGTTTGTTTAGTTACTATGTGCCGACGACTCGGATGGTATTGGCCTGGTCTTGTCGGTAGTTGAAGATCCTAGCCATTCCGAAATCCGAAATCTTAGGATTCATTTCCTTGTCTAACAAGATATTGCTAGCTTTTAGGTCACGGTGAATGATCTTTAGTCTTGAGTCTCTATGCAAGTAACGCAATCCTCTCGAGATTCCTCCAATGATCTCCCATCTTTTTCTCCAGTCTAAACTTCCTCGTTTGCTCTCATCTGCGCGCATAGATCGATTTTTACACTCAATCCACAAAACTTCCAAACTTTTTTCTTGAAAATGTTTTCAGAGAAAACATACCGAAAAGGAAACGATCCAAGCTTTTATTTGGCATGTATTCATAGAGAAGCATCTTCTCGTTGTTGTCAATGCAACATCCTAGTAATCTAACAAGATTCCGATGCTGGAGTTTCGCAATCAGTAAGATCTCGTTCTTGAATTCCTCTAGTCCTTGCTTAGATTTTCCTGATAGTCTCTTCACCGCGATCTCTCCTCCTGTTGGAAAGTTTCCCTGTTTAAACATAGCACATTGTATAGAGATCAAACCTTTTGTTAATCAACATTAGTCTCAAGAATATACATATTCAATTGTTCACCTTATATACAGTACCGAATCCACCTTGTCCAAGCTTGTTTTCTTCAGCGAAATCTCCCGTTGCTAAAGCTACGCTGTTGAAACTGAAAATTGGCAAATCGGTTGTATCAACTTGATCTCCTACTAAATCTTGGATCGGCGAGCTTGAGGACTTAACCGAGTAACCTCTGTTCTCTCTCATGTCAAAAACCGAAAGTTTTTTCTTCTTCCACAAGAAAGCTGCATATCATGCAATATTGGATCTTTGAGTCTATGCACTTCATCCTTTTGAAAACCAGAGTATGTGTGAATAGAGACTTTACCTTTAACTCTTTTCTTGAACTTCCACAAGATCCAAATGCATGATCCGAGCAAGAAGACACCTATAACACTGAAAACAATGATCCAAAGTTTCCATTTTTCCTTCCCGCCTCCTGTACACACAACACCAACAAAAATAGAAATATATAAATAAAGATACAGACTTGAGATTAGTCATGTTTGAATAAATGTTATATCACATCTCAAACATTTTCCAAACCTAATTCAGATTCCGCTAGCCGTACGTTGATAGATTCTCCACCATGCTCAAAACGCTCCATATCGATCAAATCTTGGTTCCAAGTCATGCATCCGATCCCTCTTACAAACGCATAAGCATTACACGAACAATTCCTCACGCATACATCCTTGCAGGCCTCTGAGTTTTCAAGCGAAACAACTGATCCAAAATCAGGCAACTTCATTCCCCTAAGTACCATAAACCCGTCTTCTTGACTCGCAAGCATACTCTGGCCACAGTTTAATGGAACTCTTCTTTGGCAACCACGCGAGAAATCGCCGTTGTCCCATTGAGTCCGATTCACCGGCTCAAACTTATCAATGCAACTACATTTACCGGAACTAAAATCTTTACTATCATCACATACGCTGTAATTACCGCAACGATTATAGATCTCGCATGTCGTGCCAGGTTTTAGTTGAAGCAAAGTCCAGTTCTTGGCACTGTTGTTCCATCTGAACTGCTCTACTACACCATCAAACCTAACCTTAAACCTTAATAAGTCAGAGCTATCTGAAGGAACATACGTGAAGTACACGCTACCATCTCTTTCGGGGGGAGAAGAGAGCTTAAACCCGTAAATATAGTTGGTGACACGGAACATATCCGGTATACCGGTAAAGATAACCGAATCCCATGGTCCGCTTCGCCATTTCCTCGTTTCCCCTTCCCAAATCACAATCTCTAGTGCTCCAATGGGATCAATCCCAAGTGAATATCTTCCTGGTGAAGGATCATTTTCTGATTTCCACGGAATAAAAGCCCGATTCTCTCCTCTTGATGGATTCACCCTAACCCTCATACCAGGCAAGAAAGTATCAGTTGGATTGTTAAAGCTCTCCCAGTACAAATTGCTTCTGTCTGAATCTGAAGACAGAACCAAATCCCCTGTTTTCAACAGAAGAGCAACAGTATTGTTTAACTTGGGCGGAACGTTTGTTGACCAAATTGTGTCGTTTTGACCGTTAGCGACCACCAAGTTCCCGTCATCTGCAATCTTCAGAGCTCCGTTGTTATCTAACAATGGCTTCTCTCGATTCGCGACCCAGACAATCGTTCGAGGTTCGATGTTCTTATACCAGATTCCGACATACCTTAAGGTTGAGTCTTTGGGGCTGAAGAATCCAAGCTCGAAGATTTCGTCCTCGCTGATCACTGAGTCTCCGTCTCGTATCGTGTGGTTTCTGGTGATTGAGTTGCTTGTGGAGCAAGATACGATGGCACATAGTTGTAGCAAAAGCAAAAGGGTCGTGACCAAAGTAAGGCTTCTGTTAAATGCTGCCATATTTGGCGAGATTTGATCCTGGGAGATCTGTATATTACAAGAAGGAAATTAATGGAAAGAATAAAAATGTAGTGGTTGTTGATTTTTATTTCTTCTTATAAGTTTTTGATTTTTCAGGAAGACTAATTGGTCTTTCTAAATTTAAAGTCATCAATATATGTATTTATATCGTAGAAATTCATGAGAATAATCTAAATACCAACGACTGAAAAGACAACTAGCCCAGTCGTGTTGACAAATGATAATATTGTAGTATGAATTTTTCACGTTTTTTATATAGACATTGGATTATTGAGGGGAAAATGTGACTTGGAAGGCCAGAAAAGTATGTGTCAATCAATTTCTATCTTCTTATTTGGGTGGTTGACAAAATCCAAGATTTATTCTTCTGCCATCTGGTTTTCTTTTTGGAATCTTTCTAGTAGCATACTACCATATATATTTAAAGATAACAATTTCTTTTTTTCCCTTATGCCAGAAAGTATTCAAGTAATGGTGATTTTTATCTTCCATAAGTCCATATATTGATGAAATATTATTTCAAAGAAATAAGAATAATTTGATCAAAGGGAAATTTTGTCGGTTTATCTTCCTTGAACGATATCGTCGCTTAATTTTTCCAAATTTGAATGGAGGGTTCACGTTACAAAAAGCAAATATGGCAATTTGCATAATTCTTTTTTATATATATATATATATATATATATATATATATATAAGAAAACCTAATTGCATCACGAAACACAATTTCGTTGTGCGGGGATCACGCGTGCGAGAAGGCAAACTTTTTATCCGACAGTGACAGAACACTAGCGATCGGATGAGAGCACTATGAGTCATAACTCCTCTTCAGCCGAGTTTGGTATAAATTCTTTAACAGAAATTTCATTTATAATGTTAGGCAATATGCCCAAAGAAATTCAAAACAATAATCCATAAAATTGGAATAAGAAAATGGAGAATACAAAGATATTACTACTATGTACCAAATTACTAATGATCTACTGATACCAATAAAATTTTCCGTAGATGTTCATAGTTTACATTCATTCATTCTAAAACCAAAATAAAAATGTGGAAATCAAAATTCTTAAACAAACTATATATCAGTTCTAAGAGTGTGTGACTTCAAACCCAAACACAGATGGTTTTACACTCGTAAATCAAAACTTATTGCTGAGAGCTATCGTCCTGAGATTGATGTGAAACTCACACGGTTGATGGATGCTCTTTGCATCAATGATTCAGCGTCTGTAGCGTTCCATGTCGCTATAAACACGGGCTGCTTTGGCTTGGGGAGGTCTGAATTCTCATTACCGAGCATTAAAATCACGGTAGAAGCGCATGGCCTATCGTTTGAGTGATCTTGGACGCATAATAAACCAATGTGCACACATCTTCGCAGTTCATTCTCAAAAGTCTCGTAGCAGATTCGAGGGTCTGCAAGAGTGGTAGCCTATCCATCATTCCATAATTTCCAAGCCTAAAGAAACATAGAATTAAGGTCAAATTCTTAAGAGCACGTACTTGTTGTAACTTGTAAGAACAGGTTTATAAATTGATTACTATACTTACATAATCTAAAAGATTCAGATTCTTGCATCGTTATAAAAGCTTGAGCTTTTTCTTCCACTCACAATCTCTAACAGTATGACTCCAAGGCTGAAGACATCAGATTTTTCTGAGAATAAACCTCGCATTGCATACTCCAGTGACATATAACCGTTACAAAGCATAATATTTTAAACCGGTTTTAAAGAGCTTTAAAAAAACAAATATTGTACAAAAATGTTAATAAAATGTTTACTTACTATGTTCCAACCACTCTTGATGTATTGGCTTCATTTTCATTTATGTGAAAAATCTTGGCAGAGTCCAAAATCTGATATCTTTGGATTCAAGTTATCATCTAACAAGATGTTGCTAACTTTGAGATCTCTGTATATGATCTTTAGCCTTGAATCTCGATGAAGGTACAAAAGACCTCTACAAATACCATTGATTATGTTGAACCGTGTCTTCCAATCGAGAATATTTTGCTCCTGTGGGCCTGAATCACAAATCATACACCAACATCATCTCTTCTCCCTAAACTCCCTCCCCCAAACAATAAACAAAATAAGATGTAACATAGTGTAATGGAGCGATAATAAATTACCAAAGAGATAACCATCTAGGCTTTTCTTTGGCATGAACTTGTACACCAACATCATCTCTTCTCCCTCGATGCAACACTCAAGCAATTTCACTTCATTCACAAGTTCCTCGAGTCCTTGTCCAGAAGCCCGCGAAAGTCTTTTAACTGCGATTTCTTGCATTTCTTGCAATTTTTCCTAAAACCAAATATATATGATAATTTGGAGAGAAAGATCCAATAATACGTATGATACAAATTTTTTCTTTTTGAACAGAAGTTTTATATATTACCTTGTAAACAGGACCAAACCCGCCTTGGCCTAACTTGTTTTTAAGTGCAAAATTGTTTGTTGCATTAGCTAGCTCTTAAAACTCAGAAAGTGGTGGCAGTTCCTCGAGTTTGGATAAATTTTTAGGGTTATTACCACTTATATTACTACTAACTGTTAAAGCTTCAATTCTTTGGAACACTAGTCTCACTTTTCGATTTTTTCAGCTGTAAATGAAAATATACATTAATAGAGAAACAGACTTGTCTGATCTATCAATGAATCCAGCTACACATACCTCTACGCTTTACGGACTTTCGCAACCTCAAACCAACAAAAACTGCAACTAAAATGCAAACCGAAGGAGCCATTATGACCACAATCCAAAACCTAACCGTGTCTACAAAAGGATAAAATACATAGTTAGTATTCAGATGGAAAAAACTGATTGAGTTTATAGATCATTATATATACATATACTTACTTTGTTTTGAATCCGCAAAATGAATATAAAGATTAGTACCATTGAGCATATAATCCTGCAAATCAACTAAGTTTTCTTTCCATATCATGCAGCCGACTCCACTTTCGAATTCATAAGCATTACACGAGCAATCCCTCACACATACATCCTTACAAGTCTCCGAGTTTTTAAGCGAAACAACTGATCCAAAATCAGGCAGCTTCATTCCACTAAGTACCCTAAACCGGTCTTGTTTATCTGCAAGCAGACTGTGGCCACAGTACAATGGAACTATTCTTTTGCATCCACCCGAGAAATCCCCACCGTCCCATTGGTTTCGATTCAACTGCTCAAACTCATCAATGCAACTACATTTACCGAAGTTACCGTATCTACTATCACCACATAGGCTGTTATTACCACAACGATTATACCTCTCGCATTCCATGCTTGGTTTCAATAGAAGCGAGGTCCAGTTCTTGGCACTCTTGTTCCATCTGAACTGCTCTAATACGCCATCAAACCTAATCTGAAACCTTAATAAGTCAGAGCTATTTAAAGGAGCATATGTTAAGTATACGCTACCATCTCGTTCAGGAGGAGAAGAGAGCTTAAACGCGTGAATAGTGTTCCTTGCAAGGTACATAACCGGTATACCGGTAAAGATAACCGAATTCCATGGTCCGCTACGCCATTTCTTCATGTCCCCTTCCCAAATCACAATCTCTAGTGTTCCAATGGAATCAATCCCCAGCGAATACCTTCCTGGTGAAGGATCATTTTCTGATTTCCACGGGATAAAAGCGCGATTTTCTCCACTTGATGGATTCACCCTAACCCTCATATCGGGCAAGTAAGTATCAGTTGGATTGTTAAAGCTCTCCCAATACAAATTGCTTCTGTTTGAATTTGAAGACAGAACCAAATCCCCTGTTTTCAACAGAAGAGCCACAGAATTATTCAACTTGAGCGGGACGTTTGTTGACCAAACGGTCTCGTTTTGGCCGTTGACGACTACCAAGTTCCCGTCATCTGCAATCTTCATAGCTCCGTTTTTATCTAACAATGGCTTCTCTCGATTCGCGACTCAGACAATCGTTCGAGGTTCGATGTTCTTATACCAGATTCCGACATACCTTAAGGTTGAGTCTTTGGGGTTGAAGAATCCAAGCTCGAAAATTTCGTCCTCGCTGATCAGTGAGTCTCCGTCTTGTATCGTGTTGTTTCTGGTGATTGAGTTGCTTGTGGAGCAAGATACGATGCCAAATTAAGGCTTCTGTTAAATGCTGCCATATTTGGCGAGATTTGATCCTGGGAGATCTTATATTACAAGAAGGAAATTAATGGAAAAAATAAAAATGTAGTGGTTGTTGATTTTTTATTTCTTTTTATAAGTCTGCTGATTTTTCAGGAAGACTAATTGTTAATTTAAAGTCATCAATATATGTATTTATATGATTATATCGTTGAAATTCAAGAAAATAATCCAATATTTAATACCAACGATTCTAAGGAGAACTAGCCCAGTCGTGTTGACAAATATAGTTTGAATTTTTCACGTTTTTTATATAGACATTGGATTATTGAGGGAAAAATGTGACTTTTGTAAGGCCAGAAAAGTATGTGTCAATCAATTTCTAATTTTCTATCTTCTTATTTGGGTCGTTGACAAAATCCAAGATTTATTCTTCTACCATCTGGTTTTCTTTTTGGAATATGTCTAGTAGCATACTACCATATATATATTTCAAGACTGAATTTTTTTTTTTTTTTTCCCTTACGCCAGAAAGTATTCAAGTTATGGTGATTTTTATCTTCCATAAGTCCATATATTGATGAAATATTATTTCAAAGAAACAAGAATAATTTGATCAAAAGGAAGTTTTGTCGGTTTTGGCCGAAAATCTATACAGGAAACGATATCGTCGCTAAATGTTTTCCGAGAGGCTCACGAAATCGTAGCTTAACTTTTCGGCGAGGGGGGGGGAAGGGTTCACGTTAGAAAAGCAAATATGGCAATTTGCATAATTTATTTTGTAACACCCGCGTTTTATTATTTTAAAACGGCGTGCTATCCACTTAATTTTCCAACCAAGTTACCACACTTTCAACTCAAAATTAATATTCTTTCATAAATATAACTCAAATACTCTTGCAAAACCGAACTTAAATTCAAAATAACCTCAATAAATCCTTAAAAAAAAAACTATTTAAAAAGAAAACGAAGTGTTTTAGGTCCCCAAGATCGAACTAATGAACACTAACACCACCACCACCATACGATCACTGCTACTGCTCCTGATCACCTGCGAAAGAGGAGAAAAGGACAGAGAGGGGATGAGTAATTTAGATTACCCAGGAGAATGCATACATGTGGTCTACCATACATATCACAACCTAAATATGTCGCTAGCCATCATCTAAACGAAAAAAACATTCACAACTCTCCAATAATCAACAAGCAATCATAATAGATCTAGGTTGAAACTGCATCTACCATAACACCAACAAGCAATCCTATTAGGTCTAGGTAGGAACTGCATTTACCATAACCTCAACAACCCTACAAGTGGCACTGCATCATTTTCAACTATCGGTATAAGTAGGAACTGCATCTACTGTAACCCTAAACAATCCGAAAAGTGGATATGCACCACTCTCGGCCCTCATGTCTAGGTAAAAACTGCATTTACCGCAATCTTAGTAATCTGACAAGTGGAACTGCATCACTTTCGGCTCCTAATGCAATTGTGCTCTCAACACTCTATATGCAATGCAACCCATAATTCTCACAAACAATCAAACACCAAACAGCAATCAACAATATTAACCATGGTCCTAGATCTATGTTCAGAAACAAGTAAAAGTAAATCAAAATACACAACAAACAACTACAAGTTACGCCATAAGCGCAATCTACAGGGGAAGAAAATTCGCTTATCCTTAACTAGAGACAAGAGATGAAGATAATACGGAAGGGAAGGCATAGATACATCCACACATTTCACGGATCGAATGAACAACTAAAACAAAAAGGGTTAAAGTTTTGGGATCTAACGACAAGAAGCAGAAAATGTAATAAGACGGCAAGACAGCGCAAACGAACAGTGACAGAGGATCCTCTTTCCCTCGGCGGCGGGTGGCGATGGCTGAAAGCTAAAGTTTAGGGTTTTTATCTGGAAATTGTAATGACAATTTTGACTCTCTAATTCTCTTTAGAGGAGAAGAGAACTCTATGGTTAAGATTTTTATAACTTAATAGACTTAAAAAGGCCCTAATAGACTTAAAAAGGCTTAAGAAGCTTTTAGACTTCAATACATTAAAAAAAAATAACAGACCTGTTTAATAAAACCGGAATGTTACACATTTTTTTTTATATATAAAAAAACCTAATTGCATCACAAAACACAATTTTGTTGTGCTGGGGGAGCCTCATGAATGACCCGCGTTGTTCTGGACCGGGGTGGAGTGGTGCGTTCTGGCCCACATAAATCGTTGGTACGTCCGCGTCCAGGGGTCTCATGGTATCATGGCCCGGCGGCGTGCTTGCGCATCCAGCCAGCTGCTATAGCTGGCGGTTTCTTTCCGTGACCCGCTCGAGATCGGCTCGGAGGCAGCACACATCCTCATAGTCCAGCATTTGGCAGAATGTCTTGGCCAGAGGGGCCATCGGGGGATTCTGGTTGGTAGTCCCTCGTGCGTAATCCCCTCGGGGGCCTTGCTCCGGTGGGCTTGGCGACTCGCTTCTTTTGTTCGACATTAGGCTTGTTATCCCCCCCCCACCTCCCCCCCTTCCTTCTAGCGCCAATTGTTCAGGAAATAAATTTCGGGATGCCATGTGTTGGAATTGTGAATGAGTCTGCAGGGGAGATTTAAACTCTGGGGGGAATGGGTCAGCCTGCAATAAGAGAAGGAAGAAAAAAGCTCTTGGTAAACAGGAAAGGGGTTACCCTTCCGATTACGCTCCGACGCTCTATTCAGAAAAGACACGTGACTGGACGGAGTGAATGAAGATATCAGAAGAACAGGGTACAAGGCGCTCTATCAATTCGAAGGGATCTTGATAAGGCTTTTGGTGGCTATAATCTAAATGAAAATAAAGCTAGGAGATAAAGTTATCGTTCTAGGTCGTTCTTCCTCTCTCGTTGGCTCGAGGAGTGTATTTTATAGATGATACATGGTTTCGGATCGAGCCCGGGTTCGGGTCTCCAAGTTATCTGGTCGGGTTTTTAATTTTATCCTTTGTCATCAGTATCATCCTTCCCGAACTCTCCCATGTGTGTAGTTAGAGGAGAGGTTGCCGAAATTGCTATGTCTTCTCCTAACCGCCATCATTACGGTCTTCTTTAATAAGTGCGGTGCATTTAATGCTCATCAGATTCTCACCGCATCTATTGCTCACGCGTTGAACCTTCATAGCCATAATCATATTTTACGGTCCAAAAAAACAATGGCTGTTGATTTTTCGGGAAGACTAATTGATCTTTCTAATTGTAGCAACTACCATTAACTTGTCACTTTTTTCAATATTGAAAAGTAAGAAGTATAAGCAGAAAAGAGAGACTTTTTATTAAAAAAAAAGATATAATGTACATACTAATTGATCATTTAGTTTAATAAAAAACACTGAAATTTTTATTTTACTTTATTGGTTGATTTGATAAAACTAAGCAGTTTAAATATGATTATAAATGATAATATGGAATGAGAATGAAAATTTTGACAAGACATTTTTATATATATTTTTTATATGACATAATTTAATATATAAATATAGTATTTGAATAAATTAATATTAATTTTTCCTTTTAAATATAATATTTATAATAAATATTTATTACAAAATTTGTAAAATTATATTTTATAAAACTTGTTATGTAGTTGTACATTTCAAGATTATAATATTTCTCATTTGCAATTAATTTACTTTTGTTAATTTTTGTATTATCGTCGAATAAAATCATTTAATTTTTCAAAGTAAAATTAACTCAATCAGTCAAAGCATTCAATACTCGGGGCAATGCCTTTCTCTGGAAAATATGGTCTAAGATCGTTCAAATCCATGTCAGTCTTTGCCTGACTTTTTAGAACATGTATTCTTACACGCCACACAAAGTGTAAGAAGATGAAGTGATGACTAGTTTGAATGTGCACAGATCCAAATGCACACATATTGTGGTTGCAGAATGCAGATGCAAGGTTGATGACTCTTCGCGATGTGGAAGAAGGTCTTTTTATTCTTACAAACTGAGATTCCCTGTTAGCATGAATCTTGTGGGCATTTACACTGCTTACATTGCAGGTGAAGTCTGAAGAGCTTCGGATATGTTATGTAGATGCAAGCATGGGATATGAAGCTCGGCTAACACTACTCTCTCAAGGCTTTGGGTTCTCCTGCAACTGCTTACGCTGCCAATCCGGGGAATGAGATTAACTCTTTCCTCTCTGGTCATGCTTCACTTTTCATGTATCTGTTGTAGTAAGTGCGATGACGAAGACAACAATTATACATGTATCGAGTAAAACGTCTAAACTCATGTAATTCTACTAAACACTGTTATTATCAAATGTTACATTCTAAAGAAATCAGAGTTTTCTCATATTATACATGAGTTAGAACCAGTGGCGGTCCCAAGAAATATTTTGACATAGGTCACAAATTAATTTTAATATAATTAAATAATATTATTGTCATAAAATAAACAAAAAGTCTAATATCAGTACACTGAAAGCAAATCGAACTCAGATTTGGGAGGTTCAACAGCAAGATATTAACCAACTAAGCCATTTTTATCATATTGCTCAAACTTAAATTTTTTAAATTTAATATATATGGTAGGTCAGATGACCTCCCTTCTCTCTATGTGGGTCCGCCCCTGGTTAGAACACGAGTTCACATGCTATGAGGATGCATACAATTGAGCAATGTGGTTTATTACATGATCTATATTGGGCTTTTTTTAATGCACAATGGAGCAAAATAAAATCTTGTTGATTAAACATACCTTCACCATATGAGCTTTCTCATACTTTGGTTTTATGGTAAGAGACATTTCGTTTTTGTTTCTCAACTTTTAAAAGAATCTGTTAACGCTTATACAAAGAGATGATTTTTTTTTAATTATTAAAACGGTTTCAGTCCGCCTGAAGATTCCAACTATCATTGAGGTACAATTATATCACTAAAGAAATCTATACATTAACATTTTTTTTAATGCTTCTTTAATATATGCAACTAATGTACCGAGAGCCTAAACAAAATTTCCTAATATCGGATAGTGAAATGCAAATACTCTAAGCTTCCAATGAATTCGAACAAATATCAAACAATATAATAGATGCATTTTAAAATGACCAAAACCCATTATTGGTTTAATAAAAGCTTAACAAGATAATCGAACAAACAACAACAGAAGAATCAAAATGCAAAATCATCAAAAGAAATAATCGACAACATTAGTTCAAAAAAAAAGAAAGAAAGAAATAATCCCAAGCATGTAACTTGGTAACGAAACCAATCAAAAATCAATAGTAGGGGGTTTTGTAGACATATGGTGGTGGTGGAGACTTGTAAGTGACCTTAGGAGAAGGCGAGTAATATGTTGGAGGTGGTGGAGAGTTGTAAACATATGGTGGTGGAGAAGATTTGTAATTTACTTTTGGAGAAGGAGAGTAGTATGGTGGAGGTGGTGGGGAGCTGTAAACATATGGTGGTGGTGGAGACTTATATTGAACCTTTGGAGAAGGAGAATAATATGGTGGAGGTGGTAGAGAGTTGTAGACGTATGGTGGTGGTGGAGACTTGTAATGAACTTTTGGAGAAGGAGAATAGTATGGTGGAGGTGGTGGAGAGTTGTAGACGTATGGTGGTGGTGGAGACTTATAGTGAACCTTTGGAGAAGGAGAATAGTATGGTGGAGGTGGTGGAGAGTTGTAGACGTATGGTGGTGGTGGAGATTTATAGTGAACCTTTGGAGAAGGAGAATAGTATGGTGGAGGTGGTGGAGAGCTGTAGACGTATGGTGGTGTTGGAGACTTGTAGTGAACCTTTGGAGAAGGAGAGTAGTATGGTGGAGGTGGTGGAGAGCTGTAGACATATGGTGGTGGTGGAGACTTGTAGTGAACCTTTGGAGAAGGAGAATAGTATGGTGGAGGTGGTGGAGAGCTGTAGACATATGGTGGTGGTGGAGACTTGTAGTGAACCTTTGGAGAAGGAGAGTAATATGGTGGAGGAGGTGGAGAGTTATGCACATACGGTTTTGGATGTGGCGTGTATTTAGGGCCTTGTCTTCTATATTGTGGTGGAGGAGGTGATGATGTCGAATAGTATGGAGAATACTTTTTGGGTAGATGTGGTGATTTGTGTTGATGAACCGGGGAATTATACTGTGGTGTTGGAGGTGATGAGTAAGGATATGCTGCAGCAGCAATGGCACTAAAAACCACAACGTAAACCATGCAATGGCTTAATCCCATCGTTCTTTAGGATCCCATCTTACTCATAGCTGCTTTTGTAGTTATTTCTTTTTTTCTTGTTGTTGTTATGATATAGGTTAACATGGAAGCTATTTATATATAATCGATTTTTTATAAAATAGTATATTATCTTCCACCCATTTGGGTTCGTGTGTGGCACTTTCAAACATATTTAGAGGACGTGCTAAGGTGTTAGTTTGAAAAAGATATTTGTTCTGTGGGGAATCTGAAATTTATCATATTCTCTTGCAACTTTCAATTAGTTAAAGTTATTTTCTTCTTATTTTGTGGGGAATCTGAATTTTTTCATATTTCTTCTTATATATATATATATATATATCGACAAACTTAAATAAAATGAACAAAACAAGCCTTTAATTAATGATTCTTTTAGCCACAAAGAATATATTTTTGTTTCATAAAATTGATGTGACGAACGCGAAATTTATTTCAGTATGTTACCTATTAATTGTCTTTAACATGAGACGATCAAAAACTTTATAAGATTCTTTGAATGATACTAGGTATTTACCCGCGCTATGCTGCGAGATATTTTTCTAAATTTTGTATATATTTTTAATATAATAAAATTATTTTTATAATGTAAATGAGTATTATATTTATTTTTTATTAGCTTAAGTTATATATTTATATGTTTTAAATCTGAATAAATATTATATATATATATATATATATTTTCAAAATTATAATTTGCTATTAAATTTAGTTAGCTAACTAATTATAAATGTATATATAGAAATAAAATATATAAGAATAAAGAAATACATTTTTAGTACCTTCATGCTAATGGCAAATGTAATCTATTTTCTCCAATAAATTGCCACATATCCTTTTTGTAATTATATAAAGCAAAATACCATTTTAAAAAAAGATTTATTAGTTAATATGATTATTTTGAATTATAAATTTATTTATTTATCAAATATATTATTATAAACATATGTTTCTAAAAACTACCAAACTATAATCAATAACATTCATATCCAAACCATTGCAATTGTTTTAGAACTAAAAAAAAAATTATGTTTGAACTCTTAAAATATCATTTTAGTTAAAGTTAAATAATTAAATTTTGGTTGCTGTAAACATATTTTAACTTGGAAATTTAGCACTGAGAAATTTCTTTTTCTTACAAAAATCGAAAAATCGCATTTTTCGTCAAATAAAAAAAAATTATTTTTCTATTAAACTGAGAAATCGGCTATTCCGGCCAAAACCAAAAAATTCATTTTCTCGTCAAACCTAAAACCTAAACTTACATTTTTCCGCGAGAACCTGTGTTTTTCCACCAAAGCCGAGAAATTACGTTTTTTTTTCAAAAAAACCAAAAAAATTCATCTTCCTGCAAAAAAAAAAAATTGTATTTTCTGCCAAAATCGAAAAATTTATTTTTCCTGCGAAAACTGAGAAATCGTCTATTCCTGTCAAAAAAAAATAATCATTTTCTCGTCAAGCGCAGAATCACATTTTCCTACAAAAACAAATAAACTATAATTTCCCGCGAAAACCAAAAATTGCATTATCTTCCGTAAAATTGTATTTTCCCACGAAAACTAAAAAATTGTTATGTTTTTATCGGTTCAAATTTGTGCTAATATGTGAGCTTCTTATAACATAAGATTTTTTGCGTTGTTGTCATGGAAGCATAGTTGATGTTAAACCTACACTTTTTCAATCATATATGTCTATGTAAAACAAATAGATTATTTATTTATTGTTATTTATTATTTACATTTGGTTTTGGCAAAAAAAAGGAAACAACAATTTAATTTTTTTATTTGTTTTTATTTATTATTTGGGTTTAGATTTGGTAAAAAATAAAATAATAATTTTTTATTTGCTGTTATTAATTATTTGGGCTTGGTTTTGGTAAAAAATAAAACAAAAATTAATAAAAAAAATATTTAGGTTTTTAATAGGTTTAAGTTTAAAAATTAAAATAAGTAGATGAGATATATTAATAAAATGTTTTGAATGGTGATTATTTTTGCTAGGATATCATATTTATAAAGCTTAAAAAATCTGAGGTGTCAAGCCATGAAGAAACTTTAGTGTTATTGTTGTGTTGATTTAACACTGATTAAATTTTTAAAAATTCAGTGGTTATGAAACAGTACTGTTGATTTGTATAATAATCGACTAGTCCGCACCATGTCTAGTAAATAATACTAATATACTATATTGTTTTGTTTCTTTTTACTTCATCAGCACTCTGAATAGTTTCCTTGCAGCCAAAATGACCTTGTATTTGGATTTCTCATTCTACGCGTCGGGTCTATTTTTCTCATTGTAACATATATAATATATTGATACATGCACAGATACACGATCTAGCAACGTGTATTTTTACATGATATATATCTAGGGTTTTTCTTTTTACTCTATTAATTAACAAGGAAGATTTAAGCATATGGGGTTTGTTTTTGTTGTATATAGGTACGTAACGAACAAATCAATATGGCACTTTGTCATCGAGAGCAACATTAAATATAAGGAAATCGGAGATGGTCTAATTGCATCACAAAATCGTAGCTTAATTTTATTTTTTAATTTGAATGGAGGTTCACCGAAAGCACCAACGGCAATTTGCATCATTCATTTAAAGCAAAAAAGAAAAAAAAAACTAATTGCATCATGAACACACAAATTCATTATACACGCGCGCAAGGGAGCAAACTTAATATATCCAACAATTATATTGTATAGATATAATTATATTGTAGTTTTATAAAAATATTGTTAATTAATTTTGTATTTAATATTGTGATAAATTATAAAGTAGTATATTTACATGTGATTCTTAGATATGATCAAGCGAAGTAAATATCAGAAGGATGTATATATATATCTATATATATTTTCTATCTATTAATTGAGAATATAGTTTAATGAAAAATGCTGATTTGTTTTAATTTGATTGGTTAAAAATCATTTATCTACCCTATTTAAATGTGACATGAAAATGATGATGTGTAATGATGATGTAATTATGACATGGCATTTACTAACACATGTGGTTGATGACATGACAAAAAGAATTTTTATGATATTTTCATAAATTAAAAAAATAATTAGATGACAAAATTTAATGTACTAATAACTAAATCTGGAATGATTCGCCGCATGCACTACGAATTGTCTGATATTATTATTCATCTATATGGGTAATAGTAGATAAATTTTGGGCTGAACGTGATGATTTTAATACATATATATATTATAATACTATAGATAATACTATATCATATACCTGTAAAATTTACTATAGCTCTGTCGTGGACCAATGTGACTTTCCATATGTACACATATCTACCTATATATTATAATACTATATTCATATAGAATACATGCATATATGTTTTCACATAGTTCAGTTGGAAAAATTATAATAACAAAATAAGATATTATTGTGATCTTCCGTAGAACATTCAAAATTTAAAATTAGTTTAGTTTAAAATAATAACAAATATAAATATACGATTTCGATTTAATAATTCTCTATGTTATTTTTCTTAACAAACATTAGATATCCTAAAAAATCAACGTGCATCTAATGAAAAACCAAAATTATAATCTTCTACATTATTAAAAAAGTTTAATGTCCATTTAATAAAAACCAAAAGATCCATATAAAATCACGTTCATCCCAAATAACTACGTAATAAAAAAAGTTAAATACTCGGGTCTTTATATAAAAAAACATCAAAATATACATGAGTATCAAACAAATCAAACCTTAACTCAAAGTGCGGGCATAATAGTTCTACCAATCCATTTACCTAAATTAAATATGGCTAAAATGAAACTTGAAGGTTGGATAGACTCCAATCATGAGTGTAATGAAGCAAAGTTTTATCGTTACACTGAATTTCCAAACAAATAGATTTGGCATCAAAAAATTAAGAAGTGGCTCCCTCATCTGTGCAACAGAAAAAATAATGTTTCCTACGATATCAGCCTTCCAGAAGTTTTAAAATAATATAGTGAGCTTTTCTGTTGCTAAATGTTCAGAGAGAACCAGTATGCTTCAAAGATATCAGGACAGTAAACAGAGTTTTATATCTAACCTTTGCTGAAACATGTCTTGCAATAAAGTTAGTTGAAGCACTTGATGCTTAAGTGGAGATGGTCTTGCAATTATTTGTAGAGTCCACTTGATAAAATTATAAGTAGAAAAATCACACATATGAGTAGATTGAGACCAACAATGATGGAATCCTTGAAGAAATAATGCTTTAATTGAAGAAGATTATAGGAAGACAAAGAAAATGAAAAATATTTATTCAAATAAAAAAAGACAGAGAAGATAAAATTTGCAGCCTAATCCGCAAATCTGAAGAAGGTAACCAATTATCCACGGGTTTGACCCATTTGACCTTCTAACATAGCGGGTCAGGTTTTACAAAACCTGTTCATTTAAAAATAATTTTTGTGTTTTTCAAATTTAATTATTATTTTTCAAGTCTGTCTCAAAATATAAATGAACTTTTTATTATAAAAAATTATTTAGTTAAAATTAGATCATATTTTACTATTAAATTTAAAGTCTTATAATTCAAAACACTAACTTTAAGTTTCATAAACTACAAAAAATTAAAAAAAACTATATAAGTCAGATTTAAATATTGTATTTTTAGATATTTACATTTTTAAAATTGTTCATGTCCGCACATGCGTGCATACCAATATCCTAGTATATATGTAATTTCACTACAAGAAATGTCAAACATAGTTTCAGATTTTTTTGTAGCTATGTAAACAAATTCTAGCTATTTCAATGTTGTTACAAATTTGTTTCAATTTCATTTTTGTAACTATGTGATTGTAGCAAATCGAGAGTTGTAATAATCTGTAGCAAATTTACTACAAATTAAAGACAACAAATTATCGTCATAATTTCTATCTAATTTGCTACAAAAATATTTGTGATAAATAAGCTACA